AAGTGCTAGACCACCAGTTTTGCTGCTCACATTCGATATTTCAGTTTGGTGGTAATAAATAATTTTCAGTTATCATGTTCCATGCTTGATGACTAAGGAGATTTTTGTTGTCACGACCTCAACTGTTGCGGATAAACAAGTATTTAGTGAGTGAGCATATCACTAGATGCATGACGGTTGAGGCCAATGCTACAAAACTTGGAGACTCAAATGCTGCTGAGTAATTGAAAGAAGGTCGAACGAAGGGAACAAATGGTCATGCTAAATACCAAAGAGGATAACAAAGAAGAGCCATCCGATTTTACTAATATTAGTGGTAACTCCGAAACCGAAGACAACTACGAGCCTACGAAAACTAGAGCGTTCAACGCATCTCGTCATCTTCTTTCATCAAGGTAAGTAAAATAAGAGAACTACGAGGTCTTTGGTTCTCAAAGTAAGAGATAAGTAAGCAACTTACTTGAAATATTATAAGTTAAAATATCATATTTTTTACCTGAAAAAATGATATTTTTAACTTATAATATGTCAACTAAGCTCAAGTCCAATTTTCTTTAAACCCCTCCTCCTTCTCTCCATCTATTTTTTTTTTTTGCAATATGTTGGAAATATGTTCAACCCTTTGATGGCACAGAACCGACATGCCCATTCCGGTTCACATAAATGTGAATATAAACTAACGATCCAGAACCAGAACCAAGAAGAAGGATCCGTCGGTGATCAGGACTTTGCTGAAAAATTCGGCGTAGCAAAGATAGGGATGAGTACGGAGAGAGAGAAGGAGAGGACAATAACAGTGGTTGCGATGCAGAGTCGAATGGTTTACTCTGTGTGGGCTGGCCTGAGGTTGTTGTTCGGAAAATTGATAATTCATAAGGACTTATTTGCAATTTAAGGAATTTTACTTATGTTGCAATATAGTTCATGTCAGACCTATATTTTACAACATATAATAAATGCACAATAATGTTAAGTAAAATGCACAATATATTGTGTGTATATGCATATTAAAGTTTATAAATTTACCAATATGTCAATTCGCAACATAATGTACAATAGTGTTAGACGAATATGCGCAATAGTGTAACGATGTATTATACTTAATTACAAAAATGCCCAGAGTTTTGTATATTTTTGTTGTTATTTTAGGTTTCTTACAGTCTATTTAGTAGCTTTTGCTCGTTTTTGTTTTTTTTTTTTGTCGTTTTGGTGTTTTGTGCTTTTTATTTCTCTTTTTATTTTTATTTCTTTTGTAGAAAATTTGCGTTTTAGGTAGTCGCCGAAAGATGCCCAGAAAGTTGCTGGGAAATCACCGGGAAACTCGCCGGAGAAGTTACCGGAAAGCCCTTGACCGGTCGCCTCCGTTAGTGCCGAGGAGACCTGACACTAGCTGGCGAGACTTCATTCCCGACACGCGACATCACGCCTAGGATTTTCCGGGCGCACTTGCGACAGAATGCAGGTCGTGACTGCGCCAACCTGAACTCGTCTGCGAGACTTCATTCGCGACCGCGTCAACCCAAACTCACCAGCAAGACCACTGTTCGAAGGCGGCCGCCTAGGCGGCGCCTAGGCGCTAGGCGGCGGTTCGCCGCCTACGATTTGCTAAAATCGGCCATAAAAATCGGCCAGGCGGGCTAGTCGGGCCTAGGCAGAGCTGGGCGGCCTCGGCGGTCACGGCGGCTACGCGGTTTCGGCGGGACTAGGCGGCTGAGGCGGGTTCTAGGCAGATTTTACAGTTTTTTTTTTTTTTTTTTTACTAAATGCATATATTTTTTTATTTCTTATTTTGTTATTCATGTGTTGTATTGTATTATTATTATTATTATATGTGTTAATTTAATTAGTTAATGATTAGTGAAATTTAGTGTTTAGTTGGTTTTTATAATTGTCTTATGTTGTGTAATGTTTAAAACATAACATGTAGATAATGTGTTGGATAAAATTACAATGAGAAGAAGTTATATTGTGGTTATGTACTTATTTTGACTTGGAATTTGTTTTATAATATAATATTAATAATATTATTGGGACTTAGGTGTATGGATTTATTAATTATAAGTTATAATTTTATTAGTGAAATTGTAAAAATAAATAAAAATAATATATATATATTATAATTTCTAGGCCCCGCCTAGACCCCGCCTAGGCCCCGACTAGGCGCTAGGCGCTGGTCGGGCGCCTAGCGAGCGCCTAGCGACTTCTAGAACACTGAGCAAGACTTCATTCGCGACAGCGCCAACCCAAACTCGCCAGCCAACGCCGTTTCACGTCCGTGCGAATCCAGCGACCAGTGTCTGCCCAAGCCTAACACTCGCAGCTAATTTGTTTTGCAACCCCGCACTCCGGACCTAAGAGCAACAAAATCAGGGCACACTCGTCGCGAACTTGATTTCGAGACCCGACAAGCTGCAGTTTTCGTTAAATGTGTGTGTTTTTTTAATGTGTATTTGTGGTGTAACTCTAAATAGACTTATCCCCTTATTTTTTGTGCACCAATTCCCCATTTGCAAAATTTTTCTTCTTAATTTCTCTCGCTCTCTCTCTCTCTCTACATTTTCTTTCTCTCTCTAAGGGCTCCAAGACCCATTTTTTATTATAATATTTATCTATCAAGATTGCAACTTTCCGACATATTTCTTCTCATTGATGCACTAGAGACTTGAAGACTTTGTTTAAGGTTCAATTGGAGACTTAGTTGAATGTTCAAGATCTCGTAAGTTTTTCTTGTCTTCACTTATTGGATTTTTCCAGGGTAAAGGTAGGAGCTTTCTTGAGTAGAATATGCATTTATCCTTGTAGGCTAGTGATTATGTGATTTTGTTGTTCATTGCATGAAATTGATTGAGAGATCTATTAATATTCACGAGCGACGATTGTTTGATTGCATGTTCCCGAACCTATGAGTGCATTTTTCCATCTCGGTCTTGGAGCACCTTGTTATTTTTGTCTCTATTTTCTTTTTCTTGTGAATTGAGGTCTTATTTGCGATAAAGTTTGAGTCTTGCTTTCGTTTTAGTTTAAAGTTGTGACCTTTAGTTTGTTCCGAACCCCAAATTGCGAGTATGGTGTTCAGGACTTCTTATTTTCCTTTCTTATGCGAGTCAATCATTGTCCGAATTCGTGTCGGAATAACCTTCCTCGAGAAACACGACTCGAGGTCGGAACTTATTCCGTACTCGGCTAAAAACTACAAATACCCCGCATTAGAAATCAAAAGTACCCATAACTATAGAAATGTCACCACACCTTTTACCAGTGTTTGAGCCTTTGACCAGCCCTAGAACATTGATATATCCCAACCAACCGCAATGTTCCATTCTTAGTTCTTCTCATTATCACCCATTCTCATTTGTTCTTACTTTCACACACATGCACACAAATATGAAAATGATAGCACAATGTGATATTAAATTTGCATCATGTACAATTAACAATAGCATCAAATATAGTTCTCATGGTTCTCACACCAGAACTGGTTTTTATTTGAACCAGCCTATATATGTATGGATAAGTTCAAGCAAGAATGATTCTCAATGAAAGAAATAAGAATACATCTAGCCATAAAATCTGTCATGCAACAGTAAAAAACAAACAATATTTATGCATCTATTAAGGGTATTATCTACATTTTATCAGCCACCCACCATCCAACCACATAAGTGGGTCCCACTCCCACAAACCTGTCCCACCCCATCTCTCTCTCCACACACACACTGACCAACCTTTCACCGCTGACCTCCCATCGACGCCCACAACCATCGTGTCGCTCGTCGTCGCCGCCGCCACCGTCCCCATCCTCACCTTATACTCACCAAGAACGTATGCACCTCCGCAACCTCCATCGAGTTCAGCAGCCTCTCCGTCGCCGACAACCGCTCAGTCCTTCTCCCTCTTCTGCTAGGCCCACTTGATATCAAGCTAAGAGTAGACGAATTTGAACTCGTCTATGGCCATGGAACACGAGCTGGGCGAACAGGCCGACGAACCCGTCAGTGTCATCAACCTCATCGCGTGTTTCACAGCGCCGAGGACAACGTCGTGCAGCCACTGGGGACACTTCAAGTAGTTAACTGATCCTCGTCTTCCCCCAATCGATGATGTCCAGCCACACTGCCATATCCGCCCTCCTTGTCGCCATCACTGCCCGTCCTGATGCCTACGTCTGCCTTGGTCCGGATGTCGCTATCCGCCGAAGCTTGAAAAAGGAAACGAGCAACCACTAATTTCAGAGTTCTAGGATAGAGGAAACAAACATAAATCGATTTCAGAATTTAGGGATGTGGACTGTTTTTTAAAAGTTAGGTACATCCAAGGGACTTATTTTGCAAATTAAGAAATTTCAACTATATTGCAATTTTTTTCATGGTTAAATCAATAAATTAATAAAATTTGATAGTTGCACAATAATGTTCAATAAAATGCACGATATCATGTTTGAATTTGTACATAAAAACACTCGCACTGCAAAATGCACAATAGTGTCAAACAAGATGCACATTAATACCTACGAAAATGCACTTAGCGTAACGATGAGTTTTACACAATAACTAAAATACCCTCGTGTGAAAAATCAAAAGTCAAAAAATTTCACCCCTCTTTGATCAAACCTGGACCCTTCGATTGTACCTGGAGCATCAATTGATATATCACATCGCACCCTACGATCCATTATTATATATTTCGACCCTTTCTCATATGATCCTATTTATTTATAAATCAATATCATAAATCACAATAATTAACATTAATACCTAAACTAAACAATAACCCGAACATAAATTAAACAAGTACCATTATTTTTCTTAAGCAAAATCAAAGCTCTTGTTTATCCATCCTTGCCAACCAGCAAAGACTACCAAACTCTAAACTCAGTTTTCTAAATGCATATAACCAAAAACAAAACCCCAACATTGTAACACGATTAAAGAAGGCCAAAAAAACAAGAAAAAAAAAAAAAAAAAGAAAAAAAAGGAGTCTCTCGAAATTCAGAGACTGGTCTACAGATGAAGAGACAAATCAAGGCTATGGCTCTTGCAATCCCCATGCCCATGCTCTCCATCCCCATTGTCCTTCTCATCATACACCTCATTACCAAAGTACCTCCCACCATCGTAGACCACAACGTTCTCGAACGTGGGCCCCACGTTCGGCCCCAACTCGTTTATCATCCGAGCTGGTCCCTGATCATAGGGGCAGAAACTGCCACCGTGGCCGGCGCTTATATAACCCGAGTTGCCGAAAATGCCGAAAGGGTAGTTTGGGGAGAATATGAAAGGCGGCGGGGCCATCAGCGTGTAGTCGCAGGAAGAAGACGAAACTGCCCTTCGGCTTTTCCCGGCTGCCGTTCGTTCTTTCCGGTGGGCGTTTTGATGCCCTCCCAAAGCTTGCGAGCTGTGGAACTTTCTTGAGCAGTAGAGGCAGGAGAATGACTTGGTTGTTCCCCCGGCTTTGTTAGGGGAACCATGCCTTGAATGATGATCAACCTCCATTAATCTCTTTTCTTTTTATGTCTTTTATTTGGGACTTGAATCAGTATAAGGGCAGTGGAGAAGTGTATACGTGGGATAATTGTGTAGTGTGTTTGGTGTACACTGTATTCCATTTATAAAAACAAGAAGATGAGTACTGTATGGGCTCGAGAAGAGATAAGAGAGTTGAAAGTATGGAGAGTAGTGGGTTCTGAATACTGCGGCAAAGAGAGTGATTGATGAGAGAGAAATACATAAGAGTGTATCATGAAATATCGCTTGTAGCAAATTGTGCAATTGGTTTTGTTTGTGTTTAACTGTCGTATTATTTGTCTAGTTTGTGTTTTATGGTTGTATTATTTATCGTGTTTCAGTTGACGAGAAAGAGTAGCTCAGTTGGTAGCACTCTTCACTTAAGACGAATAAGTCTTGAGTTCGAATCACGCAATGGAGTAAGTGGGGAACCACTATTGATCCTCTCTTAAAAAAAAAAGTTGATAATAAAGTTAACCTTAATTAATTTCTTATTATTTCACATATTCATGACGTGTCAATTTCATTGTATTATGTCTACCATATAACCGTATTGTGTTCATATTTTTGTATCGTATCGGTAATTACCACCCTCTTATATATAATATAAGACAGTGATACAGTGATACTTTTTTACATCATGAGATGAATATCTTTTCCATCCATCTCATGGTGAGACCGTCTTCAATAAGACTTGCTTTTTTATTTCATACCTTTTCCATTAAAAAAAATCAACATGCTTATAATAAAATAAAAAAATGGAGGCTCATTCCCCTACAAATCCAATGGAGTTGGGTGAGTTAAATCTCCTACAAGGACCAATAAGATAAATTAGGGGTTTCCAAGTCCCTAGAAGCTAGGCCAAGTACATCGGCAAAACGACTACTCTAGTGTGGAATAAACCAAAACACCGTGAATCTCGGTGAATTCTTTGTGATTTGATTTGTTCCTTTGTTGAGTGCTCCGCCAAACTCGGTTCTTCTTTCCTAAAGAGTTTATTTTGGTGGTCGCATGAGCAGATGCTGTGGGGAGGGTGAATATGGGTTTGGCTGAGTGACCAGGGGTAAGAGTGAAATCATCCTAAATAATCAGAGAGAAAAGGGTCGCTATCTTATTGTCTTGTCCCCCTTCTGGTTGAAAAGTTGATGTTATTGCGGGTTCTACGAAGGGGAGAGTGATAAAAGACCAATATCTAAAAGTTTATTCTAGAAGGTGAAAGCGGGCTACTCCGATGGACCCTAGGGTGTAAGCCCAATTATCATTATTATTTATTTAATATGATTAGTTAAGTTAGACCATGAGGCAGACACATCTCACACCCCGACTCAGACCACTACATTGTATGGGTCACCAACAATCTACATTCATTTGATGGATCTGACCCAACTACTTGGATAGCCAAGGCTGAGCAATTTTTTAGTCCGCCACACTCTTGTGGTGGAAAAGGTTCTAATTGCGCTCGTCCCAATGTCTGAGGATGCATTTTATTGGGATCGAGGGTTAATGCGTCATTTTTCGTCTATCACTTGGCCCCATTTTATTGGAAAATATTGTTTCGCTTCATCACTCTGACGACTGAGATTATATATGAGGCTCTAAAGGTCAAGTGGTAAATTGCCTCTATCGATGATTATATTGTTGAATTTGAAGCCTGTGTTGTTCAGGTAACTTATGTTTCTTACCCTCATTATTTTTGTCATTTCTTAGGTGGTTTCTGTAAGAATGTCTTAATATGATGACCCTTTCATGAGTATGTGTTACCATTCTATTGGCTCGTCAAGTGGAACGTGAATTGAATTTTGTGAACTTCTGATCGGGTAAGGAAAAAAACTTTTTCATCGTACTCTCCCTTCTCAAGTTCCAGCCGCCCATTTCAGGGTCCACAGTTCTCGTCTCCTCTCCAGCATGGTTCACGAATCCAACAACCTCAATCTTGCTCGACACCCGCCATGAGTAATGAAGCCAACTGTTGTAAGTATTTTTACCGGAGTAGAATCGAAAGATTCATTCCCCGGGTCGTATCGCAAGGAAGGTTAGCCGGATTTAATCGTACGTATCCGATCACGAAAAAGAGAAAATCCTAAACACTCTATTTCAATGGTTTTGGTTTCAATTATAGCTAATGACTTTAAATAAATGAAAAGCAATTTAAATAGCACGTGAATTAACTCGAGTGATTAGAGAGCTAGGGAATCGGTGATAATTGCTTTCGGTTCTAACACAACTACCGGGCAATCAATTGCTCGGTTAAAGGACTTGAATCGTCTCTCGTTCAGAGGTTCACTCTTGTTAACATCCGGATCGGTAAACCTGCATTAAGGGACTCTAGACAACACATTAGAAGGAAGATGATCATTGAACCGACGTTGTTGCATACACCACCCCGGTTCAGGCGACAGACCGGACCGAACTACCGAAGACCGAAGTGGTCAACATCCACCGAGGTCAACATGAACCGAGGTCGTCACCTCCTTAAGTAGGTGACAAGGCGCCTACGTGTGACCCTCCAGCTCCACGAGATCCGTCATCATTTATGTGGGGCCCCCTACCTCAAACCGCCCACAAAAAGTAACTTTATTCAAAAAAGTCATGCACAGATCCCAATGTATCAACCCGAAATTACTATAAATAGCGGGCCTATGACATTTGTAGAGGGATCTCACTTTCTCCGAATTCTCCGAACTGTAAACACTTTACTAAGCAACACGTAAAAGCCCATCACGGCTCTTCACCTCGGTTCACCTCGGACCGGGGCCACTGTCGATTTAATCTTACATGCTTTACGTCCAAATCATTCAAAATTAACCACGTAATTACATGTTCTATCGTTGTTAACAATCACATAACAACAGTTTGGCGCTAGAGGAAGGGCCTCATAAGTAATTTGAGGTTAATCTCCGCATTTCTCAAATAACGGTGCACATCAGCCATATCCACCATGTCGCACTCAGATCATCGTGGTCACACGTCACGAGACGGCCACAGTCGCAGCGCCGGGCAATCCGCTAGACGACACGCCGTGGCTCCACCAACACCGGATTATGCTGTTCTGTTTCAAAACCCGGAATTTGCGCGAGGTTTTGCCGCGTTAATGGCCCAGACGATGCCGGGAACATCAACGACGGCTCCAGGACATTCCATTATTCCCACGACCCCCGCGAACCGACAAAATTTACCGGCGCGACAAGATGGCGGAAGGACAACATCTCATGCTACATCTCAACCTCGTGATCGAATGTCACAACCGCCTCCGGAACAAAATACGCGACGCGCTGACGCCGGGCGAAATCCTCCCATGCTTCCCCAAGAAGAAACTGCAGAAAGTCGGTCGGGTCATTTACAGCGGACACCGCCTCGTGAGCAGCACCCACATCCTTCCAATCCGGCGCGAACCGACCTCCGACAGCATATTGAACGGAATCGGGCTCGCCAAGAATCGTCCGAACTCGAAACACTACGACGACGGATAGCCGAATTGGAAAGTCAGCAACGGGCACCTGAGGATCCACCTCGGCGGGCCTCTACCTCGGCTCAGGTGTATTTGGAGGCCGATTCTCCCCTCACTCCGGAACTCACTTCGGAACCAGTTCCGGGAAAAGTCAAGGTTCCCCAGATCGGATTATATGATGGAACATCCGACCCGGACTCCCACCTTGGTCATTACACCTCATGGATGGACCTGCACGGAGCGTCAGATGCACTTCGGTGTCGCATGTTTTCTCTAACATTAGGACCCCGGGCCCAAAAATGGTATCATTCGCTTCCCCCTCGCTCGATTTGGAAATGGCAACAATTGAGGTCGGCTTTTCGATCTCATTTTATCGGAGCACAAGTATGCCTTATCCCGAAAGAGTCTCTTGCCAACATCACTCAAAAAGATGATGAAAGCGTTAAAGATTACATCGCCCGTTTCAACGACCGAGTTCAAAATATGGAACCCTGTCATCCAGAAACTTTGCTTGTTATGGCTATTGCCGGGTTGAAACCAAACTCGATTTTCCGCTGGACGTTATGCCAAAATAAACCGAATACTTTTCAAGAATTTCTTGCTCGAGCCCAACAGCATATCATAGCGGAAGAAGCCATGTCGGTTCCCGACTTCAATTTTAACCAAAAGGCCTCTAAGGTGGGAACCGACGAAAAGAGGAAGAATAAATTTTTCGACAAGCAAAATAAGACTCAATTCAGGGGGCCTCCCCGAGGAGACCCCAACGATCCCGAAGTCCGGGCGGCCCGAAAACAGTATGCGACCGACGTGAAGTCCGGTTATCAAACTGTGTACTCGGCGGGAGCAGCTACTATCTATGAAGAAATCAAAGGGAAGGGCATTTTGCCAGATCCCAAGCCACTCCGGGCGCCTGAAGAAAAACTGGACAAGTCCCGATATTGCGATTACCACAAGTCGCCCGGGCACAACACGGACGAGTGTTTGAGTTTGTTGGCCGCGCTGCTGCGTTTAATCGGCCACCCGCAACTTAGGAAATTCTATCGTAATGCTGATTCCCAAAGGCGAGGTCCTGGACGTCAGATTGAATCCTTTGATGACGAAGATGACGAGGAAGACCGAGGTGCAATGACAAAACGCATCCGACAGGGGGATAAAGAAGTATTTATGTTTACCTCAGAAACCTCCGGTTCCGCCCCTGCTGAAATCTCTCGAGGACGAAAGCGAGACAGGTCTCCTGAACCAATGCAAATCACTGTCCATCGGGTCAATACCAACAACTCCCGGAGTACGTTGTCCCGCCGACAGGTTAAGGCGTATGCCCGACAAGCTCACAACTCCGGTAAACAGGTTTACACCACCGATTTGAGAGATGTTCTCAACAATCGGAATTGCCCAATAACCTTCAATATGGAGGACGCGAATCACTTCGCTCATCCTCATTCTGACGCCTTGGTCATTACCGTTCCGATATGTGGCATCCCGGTTCATCGTGTCATGGTGGACACTGGGGCCTATTCAAGCATTTTGATGTTGAAAGCTT